CCACCCATTTTTGCGGAATATTATTTCAGCACGTCGTTGCACCGCTTAACCCACACTATATACACATACATGTATAGAGCCACACATATACACACACTATTCGTGGAAGAGCGAGATAGCCTATACTATTCTCTTTCTTGCAGGAATTTGACAAAATCTTATGGCCAGTCTCTGATTGAAGGGTCTCTAGTCTGTGCCATAGACGTAGTATACATGGACCCCGCATACGGTTAGAAAAGTGAAGCCAATATGTACGGCCCCTCTCTGTTCTCTGTCTCTTTCTGCACAGACAAAGTGTGCAATAAAATTTAAGTAAGACTTTTACTTGCCAGTCTAGTCGGGGTGTTGCGTAATAATATTGCGCTCTATAATATTATGGAAACGAGAAATGGATGCACGCGCAACAAAAAAGTGACAAAATAAGAAGAAACCTATAGTCCCTCTAGTTCTCTTTCTAGATGTTGGCTTCACTCTGGCTGCGTTCCTTTTGGACGTTCACGCGCTTTAAGGCTCAGTTCCACAACCTCCGTTTAACTTTAACTACCGGTTAAGTCTCAACAGTGATTGGTTAATTCTGATTAACTCTTCTTAACACTAAATGCGATTGGTCAAGTCCAATGGAATAACCGGTTAGTTAACTAGAGGTTGTGGAACTGAGCCCGAGCGCTTATAAGCGTCACTCTATCTTTCTTCCGCATCTAATGAGCGATAAAGATAGAATGGTGCTTACAGCGCGTGAGCGCCCAAAAGGAACGCAGTCTCTATTAAGGTACCTTTAAATAGGAGCGTTAAACGTTAAAGCGTTAGCCAATCAACGTATCAGGTCCCAGAAGTATATTTGTAGTTTTTGCGGAAAGTGGCACGTTGATTGGCTACTGCTTTAAAACTCGACGCTCGATGCTTCCATGTAAAGTGTCCTTTAGATGACAGACATAGGGCATACGGAGTCCATGTATACTATATCCATGGCCTGTGCAGTTGGTAGTCTGATACGGGCTTAAGGACTGATTTTTCAATAGCAGTTTAAATTTGGATTTAAGTTTAAACTCTATTCTATAACAATGCGTTTGTTTTATTTAAACAGAGTTTAAGTTGAAATCTAAGTTTAAACTATCATTGAAAAATCTGTCTTAAGTTATTGCCAGTTCTTTGAAATATTTTCTTCTTGAACCGCAAATAACTATTGTAACGTATTGTAACTTATTGCGTGAAAGAGATGAAAAACAAAACAGAGACGCTTGTTTATAGCGAATTTGATAGCTTGCACAAAAGCGCACTGAGCGCACGCTAAAGCTTGTTTACAGTATATTCTTATATTTAAGATCGTGTTTTAAATACATATTTAAAAACATTTTAGTTAATAAAATGATTCGTACGGATGTTGTACATATTATATTATTGGTTAAAAATATTTGAGAATTTATTTAAGACAATCTTTAAATATAATAACATACTATAAACAAGCTTAGTGCGCACTAGTGCAAGCAACCGAATTCGCTATTAGCGATTAACTCGTCTCGTGCCTATCGCTGCGTGATTTGCTCATCAGTAATGAGATAGACAGAGCGCTTGGTCATCTATTCTTTTCTAACTTACTATTATAGTAGTAGAGCGACACACACATGAATTAGACATGCTGTTTTCACCAAAAAGTCGTCTAACAGGTGTAGTTTAGACACATTTTGTCAGGGGGCGTGTCGGAAAATGTGTCTTCTGAAATCCTTACGGGATAATTGTATCAGGTTTCCCTCTACAATAATATTTTAATAATTCATTATTCTTTTTATATTATTGTGAAGCGTGCCAGTCGGTGTCGCGCGGATTGCTTGACGCAATGGCGGTGTGAGCGTTACTGCAGCTGAGCTGTTACTGATGTTATTAAATTAGCATAAGAGAAGCAAACATGATAGCCAAACAAAATCAGCCGGTTGACGATGAAGATAATCAATCGCGAATAAAATTGATTGCGGAAAAACGAAAGACTTTGGAGGAAAAATCTGCTGAGGTATCGCATACTTGTCATTACTTTCAATGTATTGTTTTACGTAGGTGTAAGCTCAGCTGAGTTTATTCTTGTGTCAGTCTTGTTAAGTTTTTTCGATATATATCAAGGGTCATGCATGTCTCAACTTTCAATTAAGGTTACACGTGTATGATTTCTAACCTCACATATAAAATGTATAAGATTAAAAATTGAGTCTCTTGAAGATCAAATTGTTCAACCTCATTTTTTGTAAATTTCTAAACTTCATTTTTTGTATTTTTTTTTTTTAGAAATTATATAAATACTATTCATATACTCTTATGTTAAAATTAAGGAAATTATAAAGTGTAGAATTGATCAATATTTGAGTTTTGAGAATTTTAATTAGGGAAAATCTCCCAATAAATTGTACTTATTTTGGTAGTACTTGTATAGAAATCTGCCCCAGAATATTGAGTAAGTCATTTTTCAACAGTAATAAATAAATGCCAAAGCATACGTGACTCCTTTAGTACACTATATTTTGTTCTATTTTTTGTCATAGTTACTTAATTTCATTTTCATTTTTTGTCATAGTTACTTAATTTCAAATTTAAATATATTTTAAAACAATATATTTTTATTATTATTATTAATAGCAAGATACATGTATTACTTTATGCAGCATGTAGCTAATAAAGAAAGATTAATATTTTCAAATAGCAAGATAAGCTAATTTTGGAGTTATTAATAATGTTTACAACTGATTTTGTGGAATAAAATACTATACTGAAAAAAATAGTAAATTTAAATTTTAAAAATAATTTTCTTGACCATAATTTACATAATTATTTCTCTATGTGATTACACATGCTAAACATTTTTTCCTTAGTGTAATATCACCGTGAAATCATTTTCATATTTTTGTAATATTATAAAGTCACAATAAAAGAATACAATTTGCAGATTCAGGCAGAGATTAGGACCTGCTTTGAGGAGCTAGTAGAAGTCCTACGATCCAGGGAGAGACAATTGCTGCGTCAAGCAGAAGCCATTCACAGACAACAACTCTCACTGGTAGAAACATCACTGGATTTCCTGCCGTCATCGATAGCGGTTCTGGATGGTAAGAGCGAGCTGGAGGAACAAATATGTCGGTTTGGTAATATCGATATACACGGAGCGAACGGTATCACGGTGAAGGACGTGGAGCCGTACAAAGTCGTAGACTATCAGGATGCCAACAAGGATCACGTCAGTTTCGATAAGTCGATCACATGCCAGAAGATCAGAGATCGCTTGAGTCTTCCACGTTACAAGGATTTTGTATCCGACTACAAAACTCTGCGTATCTCCAGCATGCCGCCTGCTTTCCTCATCGAGAATCAACTGCGAGACGCGCGAAGCGTAAAAGGTAACTCGTTAATGCGTCTCAGCAACACTTTGTCTTTATCAGCTTGCTCGCCGCTTTTAATTATAAAACGCAAGCTCGGCTTAACGCACGTATCCTTGGACGGATTACACGCTTTTGACAAAGCGTATCCACGGAGTGTACGGTCCTTTGAGATGTCCCCAGATCTGCAAGACTTGGCGAATGAAACGACGGAGGACGATTTGCAGGAACTCGACAAGAAGGTCACGAGTCAAAATGATGCCAAAGCGATCAACGGATGCCCGAAAGAGCAGGAGAAGAGTTGTGAGCATCCAATGCAAGTGCAGCATTGGTTACGGCAGATTCTTGCGGAAACCGAGATAGAGCCAGCGATTCATGAAATAGGACAATTTTCGGAAATATCCAATGTAAAGCTCTGCAATGAGCTGTAATACTATTTGCCGGCGTTTCGATCGGGGGCCAAGGTTTCCACAGTTATGGAAAGCAAAACCGAGAAGGCTGATCTACCTTAGACTTACATACTGAATATTTTTAATTAATACGACCTTTATGCAAAAATCGATTGAAAATCGATTGAAAAGATGATATTCCTTATGTTGTGGCCTTTTTGTAATCAAAGAAATACGAAAAAAATGAAAGAGAATATGAGTGACAAAAAGTGAGTAAGAGAAGAGAAGAGATAGAGAGAGTAGGAGAAAGAGAGAGGGAAAGTATAAGAAAAAGATTTATTGTGCACATCGAACGCGATAAACTTCAGTGTCTCGGCGACAGATGTTCATCACGATATTCTTTGTTTTATACAAGAAACGTGTTCGTCGTTCGTGAAATATCGAACAAGTCGATTAGTGCCCTTTCGAAAAGTGTCGCTTAACATGTCCGAATTATACAATTTATAAGACTGTTTATTCTACTAAACAACATCGCGTATTTATTGTATCGTAGTTATAAGTTTTCAGTTTATAATGCGGCCTGCTGTCTTGTGCGTAATTGACCATTGTTAGTCGAGTGGTGGGATTCAATATACGATATATCGTTCTACGGATTCAGACAGCAGACGAAAGCACGATGATACGAGTTTTCTTTCTTTTTTTTGTTTGTTTTGTGGAATAAAATTGACGATTGTACATTGTTGTAAATAATTGAACAATCAAATTCATTGTCACATCGCAATTCCGACTTTTTCTCTGCACTTACGTAATTAGATTGTGCGTATTGCATATACTTGTCGATTATAGTATAATCGACTGATTCATGACATTGAGTGCTCAGTTATCGAAGATATAGTCAAAGCTCCAACAATTATTTATATTAAACAGGAATGATCAAAGTTTTTTTTATATTTGTACGTTTTACTGTCGCTCACCCGTTTCGAACAGATTTATATTACGTTGAGTATGCTTTCGTACATCGTTTTTAATACTGTGAGCAGATAAGATCTTTAATAAATTAATATCGTTTGTAAGATTGCACATAGAGTAAAAAATGACTGGTAATACCCATCATTACATTAATCAACTCACATTTGCGTGTCCACATGGGATTTATTTATTGTTGGTTTCATTTTTTCTTAACCCTAAACTGTATAATTGCGACATATAATCTTTGATATTGACACGGTGAAATATCTCCGTAAGATTATTCGAGATCCGCCTCTGAAGATTTCCTTCGAGCAAATAACTCATAAGTTCTCATAGCATTTCGATAGATTTATTAGAATAATATTGAAATTTCATTACAATAAAGTTTGTATATAAATTTAGTATACCGATATGTACGCGTTAAATTGTTTTATACTGTTTAGGGTTAATCGAGTGCGTATATATACGTGTTTATATTCATTTGTCGATCGCTTCATTAATTATTCAAATCAGAGGAAAGAACGGTTTGCTAGAAAAATAATTTTATCCTGACAAAATTCTCATCGTTCTTACATCGAGCTTTACAATACAGAATATATGTATATATGCGACATATATATACATCGCATAGGTATCGAGCTACCGCGAACAAGCAGATCGGCTATGACACCAACATCACGAATGTATTATTGCTGTTAATCCTTTTGCTGGTAAAACGAAGAAGACGATTCTGAATGTGAAGTGATTGGAATCACGAGCATTCCATAAACAACACAGAACACTGATAAAGAATTAACAACAAAAGCCGATCTCCGTGTCCTTAGCGGTCGAATATAAAAAAGAAATCTCGAAATATCAAATCTTTCCTCGCCAACTTCGCAAAAAATATCAAACAAAAGAAATCAGCACCTTTGTGTGAGTAGTGAGTACTACATGCAACGACTTTTATAAAATACACTTTGTGAACAACACGATATCCATGATATTGAAATAACGATGGAAAAAATGAAATTAATTTTATAACAATTTTAAAAATGTAAAAAGTGTATAGGTAGATATACAAATCATACTTGAAATTTTAAAAGAAATGATCATAGAATCTTAATAATAATGAATTATGAACTTTATAATCTCTGAATACATATTAATCGATTTTTATTATTTAATGACGCTATAACTTCTCATTATTGAAAAAAAATATTTGTTATTCTATAAAGAAACATATTTTTATATAATGTAAACAGTTCTTGTGAATTATCATTATGCCGTCCAGTGTTCCACTCAAATCACTTGCCTTTGTTACGAAACATTATTCTCTTTAATCTTGAAAATAAAAAACCATATCTACTTATGTTGAAGAAAGGCAGCTTTTATTACACGGGACAAAGTATTTCTATTATCAGTGCTTATTACTTTGGACTTATCTTTTAGCATTGTTGTTTTTTTTCATCAAGTTGACTTTAAAAACAGATTCTCTCAAAAATATAACAGAAGAAAACGCGCAATTTATCAATCATTATGTTGTAAAATGAATTAGATTAATATGATAGTTTGATTTGCCTCGCTCAGGAACTAATTTCGTTAATTAACAAGGCTAAACTAGGGAGTAGCTTGGGTCATAAGAGGGGTAGCAGATTGTGAGGAGGCTGTTTTGGCGTGGTCCTCCAGGTTCTGCCTGAACATCCTTTACTCCATCATTTCGGTGAGACTTGATAGAAAATCCAGTCCTCGAAGAAGGATGGGACGAAGGCGCGATCCTTCGTGAACGTCACAGGCACGCATAGTTGCGACAAGACTTCTTCGTACATTTTCAGAGATTCCGGACAGGATGCACCGTTGCCCTACGTCCAGAGAACATACATACATATATACATGGATAAGTAATATATTTAAAATTCTTGTATATAGATTTGTTGGTGAAATTTCCAGGTACTGACTAATCGTTCTACGTTCTGCTTACAGTTATGTTAGAGACAATTTGGGATAACGACGAAGACACTTACGTGTGTCATATATTTGCCGGTGGGCTTCAATACTTTCATGGAAGAATTGAGAATTAGTCTAATGAAGTCCCAAGCATCACCGTGTGGCGTTGTACTAATAGGAATGTCCGTCAGGTCGCCAAAGACGTAATCAAACTGACGGCCTTCTTCGATCATATGCGCCAATGCTTTCGCACAATCGCCGACTATGATCTGTAAAGTATCAATATATCTATGAGTTTAAGACTTCAAAATTCATGAGAGAGAAAGAGAGTCATCTCCACTCTTAATCTCAGATATTTAATTTATTATTCGAGAATTCAAAATTATGCCTCACCTCGTAATTATCACCCTTTCTTTTATCCAGGCAGTCGCCACATATGCTTCTCATGTGCTGACTACAAGCTTTCATAACAATATCATCAATCTGCAAAAGAGACACAAGAAGCGAATACATTACGCTATCTAGTTGCTGTTAAGTTTTAGTATGTCATCAATTCGCATACTTCTAGCATTGTGATAAATTTTGGCTTCTCCTTAAGCAATTCCCATAATAAACCGCCGTCACCACCACCGAGTATGACAATTTCCTTGCCGGCATAGTTCTCTTTGCCACGTTGCATCAGTGTCTCTGTGTATATGAGGTCTGCCTCGGACATGTCTGCGGAAAGACATAACTTCGGTGAGATTGTGGATTGGTGAATAAAGTCAGAACGTAATGCGACTTACTCTGTAGCTCGTCCAGTACCAGCAGATTGCCTAGCGACTTCGAGTGGACGATTTGTACCTTCTGATATGGCGACCTAGCCTCGAACACGAGCTTGTCGATGTCATACTCCAATAGGCGTTCGTCTTGAATAAGGACAACTTTTATTGGCAATACTTGTCATCGATTCGCAATAGCACTAACTTAAAGCATGCTTTGATACATACAGAACATTGCGAATAATAATAATAATAGTAATAATAATTATGAAAAGAAACAGGGGGTATCGCAAGGCAAAGCTAATAAACACGCAACGTTAGCATCATAACCAGACGGAAAAAATGATGTGAAGGTATTGAAAGATGCTATTTTAAAACTGAGCGTTTCGTCATGCAAGAACAAGACACACGATGTCCTTAGGTTAACGCGGAGTGACACGATGGACGTTCCAGACTTGAATCGAGCCGAGCACTGATTCTCGTGTAGATATTACTGGCGAGAAAGAGGTGTCTAGAATCAGAAATCGCCAAGCCTAAACTTTACAAGCTTCAAGTACGAAATTATACATTTCGAAATCAATCTTAAATGGTGTGTGGCTTGATGAGTTTTGATCTTAAACGCCTCGAGTATTCAACACTTCTAGGACGCTGTTTGTTCGCACAACGTATCTTTTTCTTCTTTTTCTTTTTTTTTTTACTTTTTTTCATAAAAGAAACAAAAGCGAGGCGTGAGGACATTTATAGTAACAAATATTTAAGAATATTAAGATGTATAATACTATGGATCTTTTTTTTTATTCGATTCGACTGAGCCCCTTAAGTACAAGCAGATTGCCTCGTAAGAACGGCCACGTTAGCAGCCTGGTCCGTAAACATAATTATAAATAAAAACTCACCGGCGGTAGGATAGTATCTCTCAAAGGATCCACCGCGTTTAATCGGGGTAAGCGTATGCGACCGTGTAGCGGTTGCCGCTGCCTGCAACGCCGTCTCCAATTCTTTTGCCAACTACCACGACCGGCCATCATCACCATGATCATCATCGTCATCACCGTCATCATCATGATTTATCATCATCATCATTATCATCATCGTCCATCATGATTATCATCCGTCGTTATATTTATCATCATCATCGATCATTATCATCATTATCATCATCATCATCATCATCACCATCATCATCATCATCATCATCAAGCCGAACCAACGAATGAACAGAACAAAGGCACTATCTTGTAAAACGGAATCGCTACACTCCTTGCTGTTAAGGAAGCTAAAAAAAGGTGTCGAGATCTGGCAAGCCATGATATATGGCAAGGGCTTATTTTTGTCCAACAAAATGATACCGTAACAAGCGGTAAAACGTAGTAATATAATGAGAAAAAGTAATTGTGTCTGTATATGTATGTATGTGAATGACCCTATTATTTTGAGCCGTACGACTAAAAGTGTGACGATTTGAAGACAATATAGATACAAGAACCTAGCGATCTCGGCAGCTGATAGTTCGCGAATACAAAACTGAGAGAGATTAGCACACCGTAGAAACAAGATCTCTTAAATTGCTTCACGACTGCAAGTGTAGGAAGTAAAAAGGCTCCGTGATCATATTAAATTGAGACAAGCGCAATGGAACTTTAAAGCTAAACGCAGATGGGTCTGTACAAACACATATTGGACATTATCAAAGAGCCTTAAACATTATCGAACAAACGCTAGACATTTTAGCCCATTTTGCACATCTTTAATGATTTGGAAAAGTTGCTTATATGTACATAACAATTTGTTTTTATTGCCTTTCTGTACCCAATCATCAAGGGAATATCTCCAACAATGAAACATATCGAGTAACATATTTAGAAACTTTTACTCGTACAGCCAGAAAAGGCAAGAGAACAATTGTAGACATAAATATATATATATATATATTCATATATATATGTATATATATATATTTTTTTTTTTAACATTACATATTGAAATAAATAATTAAAATCTTTTTATGAACAAATTGAGTGCTGGATAGAAAGTCTGGGCTGAAAACGTAACAGTGCTGGGATAAAATTAAGTCAGCATTCCTGGCAAGCGGCCTACCCTAAATATCTATTAGTGACAGTCAAATAGCGTTTGTAATTCTATGCCAAATATTCCACGATATAAATCTACAAGTAAATATATGTAGATATATGTTAGGAAAAGTAAACGAGGAACAAAATCTAATTGAGGGAAAGCATTTTCTACCTGATAGCGTCAGATAGAGGTCATATATGGTTCCTCGTCTTACTGGCGGTAAACGCTTGCTGCGCTGGCTGTTCAAAGCCGTGGCAATATCAGCTTCCAAGTATCGCCACTGCTATAACGTTCTGTCAGTTATGCCATATTTCTCGTTTCCGTTATAAAAAGAAATGCCTATATTCTATTGCTTTGCGTTTTCTATTTAATTTTAATTTTAATTTGGGCTGGCTTTAGTTTTGTCCCGCAAAGATTGATTTGTTCAATAGCAATTGATTGACAAAGTTGTTAAGAATCTCTAATGAGAAATCCATGCTCCCTATTTTTGCTTTTTCTTTTTAATGTATTGGCAAGTTCCTACAATTTACTTCCTATCTTTTCCCTTTTTCTCCTTTCATATATTCTCAAAGGAATTTTAATGGCTATGAAACTTTAGCCTAGGAGAGCATATTAAGCTTTTCGTTGGTGTTTGTTTTTGGTTGTTGCAAAAAAAAGGAAAAAGAAAGAAATGGGTATTTTGTCGCTTAGCAAAGTTTCTACTAATTTGGAGCATCCTACCTCGAAACTCAGAAGTGGCTCTTCATTGTCTTCTTTGTAATACTCGATGTTTAAGGTAATCAGACCTTCTGTGTATCCTCTGACAGTGATCAGACTGCTCCTGGGCCCAGTGTATAAAACAAGCAAACTGCCATCGACATTGAATTCTGTCAAGGGCTTGAGACCCGTGAAATGTTCTGCCAGTACATTGGAAATTGCTGTTTTTAGGTTTGATCGCTTCTCTATATCAGCAATCATGCTACCAGATACAGTAAAATCCAGAAGTACTGTATGGGCCACCATTGTTCCTGCAAGTATTAATATATTTACTCTGCTGCTAATGTAGAATACAAGTTATACTGCTGGTATTATTAGTGTTCTATCTCTCATGCATTTACTGCAGATATCTAATCAGGTATATTTACTGCATATTTTATCTTATCACGAAGGTGCATAGGCTCACATGAACTATATCAAATGCTCCTAACGTGACTTTGAAATTTATTTAGTGACATATTTTTTTGTGTATTACATCAATGTGCATCTATTTAAATATTCCGATGGCGTAATGTTTATATGCAAATATCAAACCGGTAAAAATGTGTCGGGTTCAGATTTGTGTACCAATGGCACGCGATGATGATTGCATTAGATTTATTAGAGAATAGATAAAACACGACGATCGGTATTAGGTTCTCTTTCACATACCAATAGCATCATGAATAAAGTTCCTCAAAATTGTACGTTACAGTTAAGGTCACGAGGGCGTGAAACGTGCTTAATAATGGTTATACGGAAAAGGAAAACATTATATAATTAATTCTTCGATAAATATTACGTAATTACTGAGGAGAAGAGGACTGTAATAATATTAATTGATCGGACAAAGAATCGATATATGATTGACGAGCCGACGATCACTCGTTTGTTTATACTCACTTCTAATTATGCAATAATATTTATCACGCTACCAGCTCACACACAGGTGAATGCTCGATTCCGCTCGACGTTGCCTCGATTGTGCTGCTAGCAACGCGAATCGATATATCACATCGTAATGATTGTCGCGGTATATCTCGAAATTCAAATAAAGTGCACATTCTGATTCATCGCACGAATATTGTCTAATTCTTGGGATGAAACAATGTTAACACATGATGTTCGCTCAAGGCTTAAGGAAAACACAGCTCGAAATCAGACGGCCACGTTTAATGCCAAGATCCAAAATTAAACCTAAGGATTTCGAAATACAAACGCTTTCGAAATACCTCAAATAGTAATAAAATCATGTCGGCTTTTTGCCTAATATAATAATTATTATTCTGTACGTCATTTGTGCCCATTTTCGAAATAGAACTATTTATTTATTAGCTGCATCCACTTTTTTAGCATTAATGATAAGATCGTTATTTCGTACCTGTTTGTGCTATAGCTACAATTTTTTGTGAATAAGAAATCTGTGTATGGATTTACTAATAATATTAAAAAGAATAATAATGTTTACAATCGATTTTCTTTTTTTAATATTACAATATATCCTGCTTCTTTCTTTTAATTTTGTCTCAGTGTACTGTATTTCTTAATTTTGAAGAACATTGCTATATTTCTGTAAATCGATGAGTTACTAAAACTCAGTTACATTAACATTATTTTGGCTCTGAACGAAACTTAAACATGTATCTATTTTTCTTTCTATATAAGTAAAAATAGACATATTTAGGTCTCGCTTGAAACCAAAATAACGTTGGTGCAACCGGCCTTAAATACAGAAATCCTCCAAATACAGAAATCTGTCTAACCCGTTGTCGGAAGCGCAACTACTAACTTTATCGAGCGAATTTTGAGTATAGAAAAGCAAATAAATGTACCATTTCTAAAAGTTAAAAAATGGTTAAAAAGTGGTAACATTTTAACGTAGCTAAAATCGAAAACGTAGATTTCTCTTTAATAGTTATATGCTGTTACATTTCTTCTTTTCTTATAGCGTTTTCGACTGAAATGTGTTTAGATCGTTTCGGGAGCGATTAATGGAGCCTTCTGGCCTGCCTAACGAGCTCTAATTGACTAGTAGAGTCTTATAATGTCATTAATCACTCCCGAAGCGATTTAAACCCGCTCCAATAAAAAACTACTAATTGAATACAGAGTAATTGTTTGTGTCCTGTTTTAACTTAAGCCAACGGCACACGGTGCTTGTTTTCATGCTGGATTGCTTCCTGGATGAAAATACTCTGTTTTGATTGGTGCATTTCCATCCAGTTTTAGAAATACACAAATCAGAACAGAGTATTTCCATCCAACAAGCAAACCAACACAAAACAAGCATCGTGTGGCTTTACTGGATGCTTTTCAATTGCTTAACACATCTTGACATACACGTACACAAAACCAGTTTATTGGTCACATATTATCTAAAATATCTTGTAAGATAACATGCAATCAATAAACTGGTTTTGTGTAACACAATGTACGCAACTGTAAAAGCACACAATATCATTATATAAGGCGCGTTCCACTTAATGCTCGTAACGACGCGAGCATCATTTTATCCTGAGGCGTTTTTTCGTTTCGTGATCACGATACTGTTTGGTTGGTTGGTTTGGTCCACTTAACGCTTGCAACGAGCAACAAAGATAGAATCATGATGTAAATATAAAGGTGTACCAGTCTTATGAGGTGTTTTTTCGTTTCGTGACCACGGTAGCATTTGGTTAGTTTAGTACACTTAACGCTCGCAACGCCTCGAGCAACAAAGATAGAATGACACTCGCGGCGATGTGAGCATTAAGTGGACCAAACTACCAACCAAACGCTACCGTGGTTACGAAACGAAAAAAAGCCTTTTGTTGCTCATTGGATGTTAAACAAATAGTATGTTTGACTGGTTCTGTGTTATTCAGCCTACGTTTATTAGTCGAACAAGTACTTATAAGCTTTATTGGCTAGTAGAGACTTATGACGTCATTAATTGCTCTTGGAGCGATTAGCCCAGGGCCAGTCGAACATGCTAAAAGATAGAATGACGCTCGCGTCGTTGCGAGCATTAAGTGGAACACACCCATAGAAGTAGAATGGGCATGCGGTTTTATTGTTCTACCGGAAATTGTACCTAACGAATGTAGTTCAGATATATTTTCTCAGAGAGCGCGTCGTAAAATATATCTCATGAAACCTTTACGATATGACCGCTATTAATGTATCTCTGGTTTTATACCGATGGAATTTGTCCAATTGTTTACAAACTTTCGTTATGCAAATTGCTTCCGTGTAATTACGTGTCAGTGTAAATATTTTACGTAAAATTGACAAGGATGGCAGTTACTATTGGTGAGATTCCCTTGATGTTTTAATTATTTATTACGTACTAGTTTTGAAAGTGCAATGAATGAAAATCAAAACTCAAGATTAACGAATGCTGACATAAATTTCAATTTGCATTACAGATTCTGTGATATATTTGTGTCTTGTGGCAGTTTTGTGGGGTGTAACTAACCCATTTATCAAAAAAGGGGCCCAAGGTTTGGAGGATATCAAGGCCACATCTGCTTACAGACAATTTATTAAGGAAATTGTGTTCCTTGCAACAAGCTTAAAGGTTTGTTACATTTCCATTAGAATAATTTCTTTGCAAATATTGTATAGTCTCAGTAATGTTTATAATTGACTTTCTTAATATTGCAGTACATGTTGCCTTTTCTTCTTAATCAGTGCGGCTCAGTATTGTATTTCTTAACTCTGCAGAATACTGATATATCTCTGGCTGTGCCAGTTTCAAATTCCCTTACTTTCATATTCACTGCGATCACAGGCTGGTTCCTGGGTGAAGAAAAAGTACATAGAAGTAAGTAAATTTGAAATCTTGATGGAAAGAAGTGTCAGAATCAATTAATCATTTTTGCAATTGCAAATATTTGCAATTAATCATTTTTGCCTCTTAGATGCATATATAGGAATGATACTTATGCTATGTGGGACAACATTGTGTTGTTGGGACAAGCTGAATACAACTGAAGTTATGACTTGAAATTATGACAATCAAGTGTACCTAGCTCTCTTTCTGTTGTACCTGTTCCTTCTAATCACCTTCATTCTATACGTGCGTATCCACAACCTGCCAAGTAATATATCAATGAAAATGTCTTGAATAAGATGTATACATTTTACTTTAAACATCTTATTTGAGACATCTCAATTTTAAAATATAGTTTCAGTGAGGCTAATTAATCAAAGTGATTTCATTTTGCTTTTTGTGGCAGGGTTTCACATGACAAAACGAAACTAAAATAGATATAACTTATAATACATACATAACCTCTATAACCTATAACAATATATTTTTATTTATAATTATGTTGAATTGTGTACAAAGAATCTACGAACTAGTTATCAAATATATTAAATATTTAATAAAGAATGTTGCAAAGATTGCAATATTAAATATTTTATATATGATTTTGCGTTAAAGCTTTAATTTTAAGTATTAGTATTTGTTAAACATTTAAAAATTTTTATATCTGATAGGCTAGATCGGAACAAGCTAGATCCGAATAGGCTAGATTCTCCTGCATTTTATATTTTTAATTAAAAAAAAAAAATAGTTGCAACTAGGATTGCAACGATATCTTGAAATGTCGATAACGATATTATCGTCAACCAGAAATTTCGATAATGATAATATCGATAATTTCGAGAAATATTGATATTTATATCGAAAATAACGAAGTAAAATTCCCTAATTTATATGTTTGAGTTTGCGTTGCTTGCATTTAGTCTTTTCGCTCTTATTTTTCTTAGTATTCGAATATCCCCTTATCCACAACCTTGCTTTAATTCTTAAGCCATAAGAAATTGACCAACCACAGTTGATTATTTGTAAAATAATCGATTGTGGTTAGTCAATTTATTACGGCTTAAAGATTAAAGCAAGGTTGTGAACAAGGGGTGAATCCGTCCGAATATGTCCGAATCGATGGTTCGTATTCATAGTCAGATCTTATATTTAAGATCGTCTGAAGTACATAAATACATATTAAGAACGCAATTGTCGAAAGATGTCGATTTAGCTAGGACAATATTAATATTTCATATCAGGGAGGAATTAATAGCGTATTTTTCTCGTATTACTATTGAAGGAACTGACCATATAACGATATCATGCTAATCGAAAGTTAAATACCGACGAAAGGTAATTTAGCTTAGATCATTTAAGCACAACGGTTATCATTCGATGTTATTTTTCAATATTTGTTAGTAACTTCCTCCGCTATGTGGCGTACAGTCTCTAAAGACAAATGGAAATTGCAACATGTCTCAAGTAAGTAAGACGAATATTAATTTACGAATAAGGGCGGTTCTACATTAGTTGCAAGTTGCAAAAAATTGATCAATCAGTCAATTTTTCTTTAGTCGCAAGGAGAATGATCGACTGTGATTGGTCAATTTTTTTTGCGACATTTCCACTGTGCAAATAATAAATGTAGCAGAAATATTTCTGCTACATTTTTGAGCTATTATGTAGAAGAAACGTTTCTGAGTAGGATATTAAACATATATGTTACGAATCTAATGTGTAACGTTTACTATTTGCACAGTGGATTGCGACTTACAACTAATATAGAACCGGTCTAAGACCGATTCTATATTAGTTGCAAATCGTAAGGTCGCAAGAAAATTGACCAATCACAGTTAATTTTTCTTTGGTCGCGAGAAGAATGATCAATTGTGATTGGTAAATTGCAATACTGTGATTTGCAACTAATGTAGAACCGGCCTAATGGTCGTTCTATATTAGTTGCAAATTGATTGCAACTCTTGTTGCGACAGCCAATCAGAAGCGTCAGTAGCACCATTGATGCTTCTGATTGGCTGTTGCAATAAGAATTGCGTCTGCTTGCGATCGGCTTGTGACTAATATAGAACGACCTTAATAAAACTCGGCGACGAGCAGAAAAAATTCTTCATTATTGAATAGCTCGATCCAACGATAAATTAGGCGGATTTTTATTTTATCGCGTCAAGTGCAGTTTTCTGAAAAAATATAATATCCCAGACAACATAATGTCTAAAATCGAGACCATCTTTAAAATGTCTTTCAGACAATTTATGTATAAATGTCTTTAAGACGTCTTATGTCCCGATTTTAGACATTATGTTGTCTGAGATCACTGACATATTTTTCTATTCGCCCGAAAACACAGCGTTTTGTAACCTCATATCCAGACAGGTAAATACATATTAAGAACGCAATCGTCAAAAGATACACATCGATTCACTTGGGACGATATTAATATTTCACATAGGGGAAGAATTGATGCGTTCATTTTTTGTTCCCCTCGAATTATTAGAAGAGCGCGCTGTAATCGTTTGCACCCCCGATGATCTGCGTTTCGCAGATGACCGTATAATAAAACCATTATTAAGATATTTAACGTCACATGCGCGCGACCACCAGCCACGTGAGTCGAGGTATCGGCGTAATCGCGGCGAACAAAAGCGCCAGCCGATCTCTTTACAGTTATGCCGGGGCACGTGCCCAACATAATTCACCATTGATGGTTATATTCCATTGTAGACTGAGCCCATTACGGCCTGTACGTGCAGGCTTCGAACAAAACGCCGAAATAGTAAATATGTATCCCCGCACCCTCGCCACTGACAACTATTTTCCCAAGATATTTCCGCACGTTACATTGTCGTCGCGTATATACCACGCTTGCCGACGATTTGTATCGCCTAATCCCCCGATCGATCTCGCGTCACGCCGCGCGAATTAATCAACGACGCGTCGGCGCAACGAGACCACTACGAGAGCGAAAACAAACCGCGGTGTCTCTTTCCCGGAATCCGCGAAAGCCTACGTGGAATTTTGTCACACGTGTGATAAATAAAATGCCAAATCTAAAATAAAATTTAATTCTGTTGATGAATTCACATCTGATTACACATTCATACGTATCGTGCATTATTATCTCTGTCTATATTCTTTAATCGTCCTTTGATAGATCCCTCGTCTACTTATCGATTTAATTCTAGCATCCCGCAATTAATTGCGAACGCGCGTGCATATAGACAGTCGGAGACAATCGCGGGACACGTGTCGACACAGAGGAATCCTTAAAACGCGATGCGGCATTTGTTTACGACCTCTGGAGAACTCTGGTGCTCTCGAGTTCGAGTGTTCGCAAGGGTGAAAAGGGCGAAAAGGGTCAGCCGCGTGTAAGCGCTACGGCGATACAAGGGGGTTGAGCACGGGAAGGAGTTTGTTGTTACAGTTAACACTTGTCCAGGGGTAGTTTTGTTTGGGACCGTCAACCCTCTTTTACGTAATTTAGTGAGAATGGAATGAGAAGTGTGAATAGCAAAATTGATAATAATTATGAGTGATTTTAGACGACTGCGTAATCGTATAAGAGTGTGTCTTCATATATGTAAAATTTCGTAACCAGTCAGAAAAACCATAATTTTAATTTAAATTCTCTGCATTTAATTTTTTTGCAAAAAAAAATTCGCAAAATGTTATTTATGTGAATGAGTATACACTTGAAATTACATATTTCGAAATTTCATAATGATATTACAAACATTAGGACATTTACGATAATTTCTCTCCCTCCTGTATGTCTCTCTCTCTCTCCCTCTCTCTCTCTCTCTCTTTCTTTCTCTCTTCGGAAACAAAATAAAAAAATATTTGACCACAAAAAGTTGCCAAATTGATGTGAACCGGTCGTTACCAAACGACGAGAATAATTTCAACCGCAAAAGGTTAATAAATTCTATTGACTAAATTTCATTGGACGTCAACTTGTTTTACCGATTGACTCGTCGGGTTAAAATAATGTCGCATAATCTCAGAATGATCGATTCGCATATACATCGATCGTTATTTCATCATACATGAAATTTAGATATTAAGGAGAAAAATTTTTCTTCGATTTTAATTATCCAAATAGAAACTTAAAAGGTATCCTGAAAAACATTTCTACGAAAAATACATTTGTATAATAGATTTATTATAATAGATTAATTTAATAAATAATTTTATTTAGTAAATTTATTTAATAGATAAGATAGTTTCGAATATACCGGTATTGTACCGTTTTCCCAAGTACTTCTGAAATAAAACAATTATTCTCGAAACGCCTAACGAAATAATTCGGATTGTTGTACAAACGACAGAATCGTGACTTAAATTTGCGATCTAAAGTTTCATATCGGTCCTCCTCGTTGGTTTCCTGCTCGCCTCTTCAGAAGGAGTCGCGCGCGACAGACTCGTCTCGGCGCGATCGCCGAAAGAGAAAAATAATCGGGAATCGATTTCGCGGGGAGAGTGCTGACCACGAAGAAACCCGTCGCCGATTGCTTCGGGATTGTTTCAGATTGCTATTCGAGTGGCAAACACGTTCGCTACGGAATAACGGAAATGGAACACGATGAGGTAGATTCGTCGACGGAGGATACGCGAAGGGTGGTACAAGGGAGAAGAGAAGAGAGAAGGGGAAAGGTGGATGGATGGATGAGTGGGTGCGCGAGGGGGTTGTAATCTGTATTATCCGTCGACTATTAGTGTCGAGAGGATCGAGGGTGCACGGATTACAGTTATTACAACAGATACGAGGAATAACATTATGCGTGACGCTTCCCGCGTCTACTTTCGACCAGACGGCTTGGCGATCTCCCCTTTAAATGAACCTTAACCTGGCCTAAGGTGCGGGAACTCTTCGTGAAAATCGTGCGTTCTAAGCTAAATTGCTCCGATTGAAATTAAGAAGGCGTGTACAGTCGTGGACAAAAAGGTCGTTGTCCGTAATTTTTGGAGTGAGTTTGGGAACTCTTGTTGGAGTATTCTTTTAATAGAAGGCGAATTTTCTTATTAAACAAGATAGAGAATTAAAAATATAAATACATAGAATGGACTACATATAACTCTCTAGGAGGGATGAAGTTAGCATTAGTAAGAAAGAGTAATAGAGAATCAAATATTTCCCTTGTCTAGTTGTCTAGTTGGTGGGGAAAATGAAGAAGGAGAAACCATCGCATGATCAATGCATTTTCTTTTTCTTTCACTTTCGCGTTCTTGTCTCTCCTACATTGCCACCTGCCAATGTACTGACAGAGAAAGCATTTGACTTAGCGCATGTCCTTCAATCTTGTCATCAGCCATCCTGCAAGAGTGTGCAGTCTATTCTATAAGTTTATGGTAACTCCATATTAAGTATAAGTTAACTCCAGAAATTATCGACAATCTTGTTGCCCGCTATCGTACGCGTTTCCATCCTCGTGCAGGTATTTTTTCGTCCATCGTGACTCTCCTCGCGTCACCTACCAGAGTCGATACGCGAATCGATCACGGAACGTAAATACCGTCGACGTCAGTTGAACGGGAAATGAAGGTATCGATGCTTCTCTAAAAAGTGACCATCCCCAGCGGTAACGATACTTCGCAGGGGCGTGACGACATTCACGATGCGAAGGGGCGCCCTTCCTCCCTTTCGTCGGCGAACAACAACTGTCGGCCTATTAAACTAATTGACTACACAGTATGCTGGCGGCCGCAGCGTTGCGTTGGGGAATCGCGTCGCGTTGACTTACGGTCGCGTCGTCGCTTCTTCTCTTTCTCTCTCTCTCTCTCTTTGTCTCTCCCCATCCCTCCCTTTCTCATTACACACACGTCATGCGTGTCGCAACGGAAACCTCGGCGCGTCGATTACGACCCTCGCGCGAAATTTTGCACGCATCGTCACCCCCAAACGGGCCGATGTCGCGCCTCGAGGCCGATGCTCGTTATGCAAATAGCAAACATGGTTCCGCATGGTAGTGCATGCTGCCAAGTGCAGCATCCACGCATCATGCTATTCCGTACGCGCCGGACAATCATTCGCATCCGAATTCATTTCTTTGTTTCATATTGAGATGATAAGTAGAGAGATTTCCGCGGTTGGAGATTCGGAAGAACTCAAATCGCGTGTGGCTATAAGAAGGTCTTCAACTCTCCCAGTGTAGCTGCGAAACAACGGAAATTCGTACGTGTAAGAAAAGACCGACTGTGCGTTTGCGAAGGCGGATCATTCATTAAACACGATAACCACAGGACACACACGTACACATATGCGTACATCACGTGTACCCAAAAGCGAAGCGATCGGCGAGATAGTTAATATGGCTTTGAACACGTCGATCACCGATCTTGCAAATGCCGCAATTATCGAGAGAAGCGCGGCAGTTTCGATTATTGCGGCTCACGTAGAGGTTGCTTTCGCTCCCCTCACCCCCAGCAGATCAGTATCGAAAAGCGAACTTACCAGCACTGCTTCCACCCCCCGCGCGGACGAGAGTGAGTCGATTCTCCTACTAACCGACCGCGTGCGGTCGGTTCGATCGGCGAAGGTAGCTTTAATACCCGACACGCGCCCTCATCAAAGCGATCTCCGGCATTGGGCAGTCCATTGAGATTCGCGCTTAACCACTTCATCTTCTTTCGGCGCGGTATGGCGCGACGGCGCGGTGGAGAGAAGCACAGACGAATCATGTGCAGCTCGTTAGCGCGATCGTTTGGCGCATCGTTATTCCGCGGTCCGCCCGGTAATGGAGCCCGTTTAATTTTATCGACGCGGAAATCGAATGTGCCCGCCACGAATAATGGGTCGTTAACGAGGAAAAGCCCGGACTGACGATGGTCATCCGATTTTCGCGCGTCTTCGCGAGTAGCGCGTTACGGAGATGCAGTGAGGTAAAAGTAGTGATTCCCGGACACGTAGGGTGATTTATCCAATAACACCACTCGACGAATGAACAATTTATAATATTTATTCTATTTTAATATTCTAATATTCTAATATTATCTATGTGACGCAATTTATAGTTCAAGCAAGTAACTAGAGGTAACTCACAAGTTATATGATTATGTTAAAGAAGTGCGTTGCAGAAAATTAATCTAACTTTGCCTTCGAATATTGGAATTTGAAATTTGAATATTGGAATATTGGAATTTGATGCTTAAGTGTTCACTTGCTAGATATGTTATTCTGCAAACTCAGGTATTCTTATTATTTTAGTCTTCAAATACGTCTATTTAAACGTTCGATATAGAATATATGTATATATTAGGACCTTAACTTAGTTTCCGCCCGCAAATGTTAGATGGCAATGCAAACAGTTCTAGTAGTCATTACTAACGAAACAGGTAGTTTGTGATTAATTTCGACATTTCTCGATAACATTCAGTCAGCATACACAATTATTTTCCTAAACAACAATTTCTTTTGCTTTGTGAAAAATGGAACGCGATAAAGTGTTTTTTC